TCCTGAGGAACCTCCACACTGTTTTCCAGAGGGGCTGTACCAGTTTACATTCCCACCAACAGTGTAGGAGGGTGCCCGTTTCTCCACATTTTCGCCAGCATCTAGAGTTCTCTGATTTGCTCATTTTAGCCACTCTGACTGGCGTGAGGTGGTATCTCAGTGTGGTTTTGGGGTTTATGGTGTTTCTATTTAATCTCTTTTCATATGGGGAACTGAGGAGGTTAAAAATCTATGCAGCCATATAACAACCTTTCAAGAATTCCCGTTAAATAGATTGGAGTTTCTTTTTCTTAAAGACTTCGTAGAACACTCTTTGAAACTGTCTGATCCTGTGTTTTATGTGATTAACTCTTTGAGAACTTTCTCTGTGTTCTGTCTAATAATTTGTATGTCAGATTACAAGTTATTCTGGAGTGGGTTTTGATAATTTATATTTTCCTAGAAAATTATCCACTTCCTCCATGCCCTCAAATTTATTAAAATTGTCTTTGTTTTTTAATATCCTCTGTATCCGTGGCTAGTGCTTCATTGTCATTTATGTCTACTGTGTTCACCTTCATGTCTTGGATTGGTTAATTATAGATTCTGCTTCCCCGCCCCCCACCCCCCGCCAAAGAACCAGCTCTTGAATTCATCAGTTCTTCTGATTTCTTCAGTTAGATGCTTAATTCCCTTCTTTTTAGTCTTTCTTATTCATTATATAATTAAAAACCTTTGAAATTTCTCTGGAGTGCTGCTTTAGCTGTATCTCAAATTTCTGATGTCATATTTAATTATTTTCTGAATACTTTGCAATTTTACGTTTGATTTACTCTGTGTCCCAAGATTGCTTGAGAAAGATTTAAAAGTTTCAAGAAGGTAGATATTATTATTTTCCAGTTCTTTTTATTAACTTCTCTTTTTTGTGTGTGATTTATTAAGATATTTCTTAGCTAACATACGATTACATTTATTTATATTTGTTACATTTATTACAACCTAATTAAATGTTCTGTGGGCATTTGAAAAGTAGATATATTTATTATGTTAAGACTCCCATTATATTGGGGCACCTGGGTGGCTCAGTTAAGCATCTGACTTCGGCTCATGTCATGATCTCAAAGCTTATGAATTCGAGCCCCACATCAGGCTGTCTGCTGTCAGCACTGTGCCTGCTTCGGATCCTCTGCCGCCTCCCCCCAACCCCCAGATTGTGCTCACTCCCTCAAAAAATAAACAATAAAAAAAAAAAAGACTCCATTATATGTTGGTTAGGTAATCTTAATCAGGCCTCTTTTTCCTTTTCCTTTTCGTGTGGGGTGTCCATTTATTCCATGTAAAACTGAGAAAGGGCACCCACCACTACTGTATTTCAGGTTTTTCTCCTATTTTCCGTGGTTTTGCTTTTGAATGCTGGAATGCATGAATAGGATTCCTTACTGCTAGATCTTCATTATGAATTGTAATCTTTATCATCATGAAGCATACTTCTTTTGTCTTGTTTATAGCTTTTTCTCTGAATTCAGTCTTGTCTGATACTATAATCATAAGTGCAGCTTTCTTATTATTTATATTTGCTTAGTATACCTTTGCCTACTCTTTTATTTTTAGTCTTTTTGAATCACTTCATACTGGACATATCTCTTTTAAAAACATTTAAATTCGGGGCGCCTGGGTGGTTCAGTCAGTTAAGCATCTGACTTCAGCTCAGGTTATGATCTCGCAGTCTGTGAGTTCGAGCCCCGCATCGGGTTTTGTGCTGACTGACAGCTCAGAGCCTGGAGCCTGTTCTGGATTCTGTGTCTCCCTCCCTTTCTGCTCCTCCCCTGCTCACACTGTCTCTCTCTCTCTCAAAAATAAACAAACATTAAAAAAAGAAGAAGAAAAGTAGAAATACTATAGTGAACATCTGCTTATCATTCAACTAGATTCATCAGTTGCTAATATTTTGCTGCAATTGCTTTATTTGGATATCTACATATTTTTATTCCTAAGTATTTAGAAGTAACTTCTAAACATATCCTTCATCCTTAACTACTTCAGCAAGTATTTCTTGAGAACAAGGACATTTTGAGAATAAGGCACAACATCATTTTCACATCCCAGTACTTCAGCATTGATATGATAATCTATATGGAATCCATATTTAAACTTCCCCACTTGTCTCAGTAACGTGTCTTAGAGCCTTTTTATTTGTCTTTGATCCAGTTAAGTATCATACATTGCATTTATTTATATCATTTTTCTCCTTTAGTCTAACGCAGTCTCCCAGTGTTTTGTTTTGTTTTGTTTTTTTCTATGAAAAATCTAGGTAGTTGATCTTGTAAAATGCCCCAACATCTGGAGTTGCCTGTTTCCTCATGATAGATGCAGGTAAATTTTCTTGGCAAGAATCTTCATAGGTGATTATCCTTCTCATTCCATCAATCAAGAGGCACATATATCAGTTTGTCCCATTACTGGTCATGTTAGATTTAGTCACATGATTGAGGTAGTGTCAGTTGTTTGTTTTTTACAGTATCTTTTGACTTTTTCCTGGGAGCAATGACTAGATACTTTTCTATTTCCATCTTGTTTTAATCATTTATTTTTTTCATTACTTTTAAAACATGCATATACCTCTGTTATTTGACTTATTTAAGTATCTTTTGACTTCAGCTGTAGAAGATGAGAGAGATGAAAAACTCAACATACTTTCACTGTTCCCACCTTTTTCCCCCACTTCTCTTCCAACTTTTGTTTATTCATTCACTTTCTTTAAAATGAAGAAAAGGGAACATAAACTTAATCCAGTAGTCATAAAAATTACTGAAACATCCTTCAGATCAGAGTTTTCAGTTACATAGGTGAAACCCACCTATGGGATGCACTGAGGCTGGAGAAGTTGGAAGAACTGGCCAAAAAAACAGAGCAAACATGCTGGGTTGGGGAACAATGCTTGTTGGTGGGTGTGGGTTTGGGGTTTGGAGTATTTTTTGGACTGTTACTGTCATCTACTCCACTTTAAATGGCGATTAATCATTCTTCATTCTTGGTTTGACTTTTCTAATCTAAAAATTGTAGGCTCTGGGGCACCTGGGTGGCTCAGTCAGTTAAGTGTCCAACTCTTGGTTTCAGTTCAGGTCATGATCTCATGGTCTTAGGATCAAGCCTCACGATGGGCTCTCTGCTGAGCACGGAGCCTCCTTGAGATTCTCTCTCCCTGTTTTTCTCTCTCGGCCCCTCCCCCACTCTCTCTTTTAAATAAACATTTAAAAACTGTAGGCTATGATCTGGTGAGTAGATTTAATTTCTGGGTTGCAGTAGTAAGCAGCTGAGTACTCATCTAGGACAAGTATCAAGCTGGGGGCCACCCCTGACCCTCAGATCTGCCTATTCCTCACCTTCCATTTACGCCTTCTCCATTTCTGTGCCTAAGCATGCCTTATTTCTTTTTCCTCAGGTCTCCCAGTTGCTGGGCAAACCTCAGAATTTGTTAACCAGGTGTTAGAGAAGACGGCAGAAGGCAATCCCACTGGAGGCCTCGTAGGATTAAGGATACCAACATCAAAAGTGTAATCAGCCTCATTGGACCACTGGTCAGAAATGTCTGTGTTCGTCACGTTATTCATTGTAAATTTTCATTCTGTTCTGCATGTCAGTTTAGCATTATGTAAACATTGATTAGGTTACATTGTTTTAAGAACTAAGTAGCATAAGTGAAGCATGATCCAAAATACTTGATTACTGCATTTTCAGAGCATAAACCATGGTTAAAACTGCTACTGGCATCAGAATTGGAACACATACAATTGAAGTAAACGTTTAGATACAGATTGCAAAAATCTATTAAAGCAAAACGTTTTGGAGGAGTGAAGATACTAGTAAATGCCAAATACTGTGGCAGGTTTATGCTCTGAACCACACAAAAAAATCGAGGAAGCATCTTTTTAAACAGTCAGTTTAGATTGTTTTTAGAATTATTCCTTTTGTTCTGATTTTCCACAACCATTAATGTCACTTGTACATGGCACAGCCCAGCACTCATGCCCATGTGCCATGTTAGAAGTTCATTTCTTGAGCTCAATATGGTAAATATAAATATATATATAGATATACATATAATGTCTGTGCAAGTAAGAAAAAAAAGCATATTCTTTGTGCCTTGTATTTTGGGGAAACTATAAAACTGGTAATATTTTGTATGATGAAAACCCTACTGAGGAGAAACAAGATATATAGATGGAGAAATTAATGGGGTTTAAATGTTTTTTTGTTCCAACTCTTTTTCAAATTTTTTGAATGTATATAGGACTATGTTGAAATGTAGATATATGCCACAGAGTCTGTGTATTGTATAAAAAACAAAACAAAAAACAAACAAAAAAAAAAGATGGCTCTAGAAAACTCCTATTTCGGTACTTGACCGGAAGAAGACAAATACTTGCACATTATTGCGATTGTTTTATTTTTTGTACCAAAGACAAATGCAACTGATATGGCAAACTGCCAGTCTAAGTAAAGTTTTGCACAGCTTACATGATACTGTATGAATGTATGAAAAACAAAGGAGAAAAAAAAACAGAAAAATGAAAAGGTCAGGGTTAGGGATCTTACTGAACTGTGAATCTTATTTCTGTTTGGGTCCAATTATCTACAGAAGGAGCATCCACACGTACAGATATTATTTTGCTGTTCCTCTTGTTCGCTTCCACAGTAGATAAGTTGGTGGCCATTTAGACGTCTGTAAGTCTTTTTATTTCTGCACTTATTGTAGGAAATTTTAATATATTTCATTTTAGTAAGCTATTGGTAAAATAGTTTTTGACCTTGAAAATTAAAGTTTATTTAGCTTATTGTAGTATACTTCCACCAAACAACCAAAATACAGATTATTTTTATTGTATTATATATATATATGTAAAGAAAGAAAAAAAAAGCTAAAAATATCTAATTCTTTAGTTGCCACTTTTCCAATCAATGTATTATTGTGCATGTAATATTTTCAAAGATCAACACAAGCTTACAACAAAAACAATTTATAGATTTTTATATTTTTGTACAGGTATTTTCAAACTAGCTTCTTCAAACTTACATGTGACTTCTTCTATAGTTTCTAGAACTGAGAAATATTAACACATTTAGTTTTTAGGTGCTCTTTTTTGCTCACATAAAACAGCTTCATTAGTCAGTGTTTTAACTACGTTAAAGCTTTACCTCTTGATGAGAAATTTCTTGTGTCAAGGCAGCATTATAAACCTTCCCCACAGATCTTTCCATTCTGTCTCTCTTACTGTTGATCCTCAAATCTTGTGTTTTAAACTCTGAAAACTGGTGGCTTAAAAACTATATTTAAGAAAAAAAAAATCTCTATCTAGCCCCCCCAAAATACCAAAAATTTCTGACCTAGCTGCTGGGAAAGTGTCTATTTCTCCAATAGTTTCTCCATTACCCCCTGGAGAATTTATTCCTTAATTATATTTTGTTTTTACAGTGTGTTTCTTTTTCTTCTATTTTATCCACACACCCCCATTTGTAAGCTGTAGCATATGAAGTGATAGCTTATAAAGGTTTGATTTTAAAACACACAGTAACAACTGAACAATGTCACTTATATGCTTCTTTGACATCATGAAAAGGAAACTCAGAAAAGGATTAACACCTTAGCAGAACTGTGATACACAAGATTTTCCTATATGCTTGCTGGAAATGTACCCGGCTAGTGCATTCATGCTCAGATAATAAGCTCAGATCTAATGGTTTAATAGAATGTAAGCTCATTGTGTAAAGATTTTCCTCTTTAGGTGGGAGAGGGCAAAGTACAGGCTTATACCCTGGAAGTATATGAAGTTTTGACAGAGTGTGTTTAGTAAATCGAAACATGTTCCAAAATCGAAACATGTTCCAAAATATGGCAGTTTTGCAATCAGGTGAAAATCACTTCATGATAGGGATTCAGCTGATGAGGTTTATAAAATTGCCCCTTTCTAGCTGCTCTGTTAGGAATTCTGGTTTTTGATACTTTTTTCCTGTCTGCAAACCAGAATTTGATTTTTTGGTCTTGCATTTCAAAAAAAAAAAAAAAAAAAAAAAAACTTTGAATCTGTTTAGTAGATTCCATATCCTTGCATTTCAGTGTTTTATATGTACTACTTAAGTTAAATAGTTAAAAGCTTTTAAATAGTTGAGCTTTTTAATGTTGACACTTTATTTTGTACCTATTTATATATGTATGTATATCTTAGAAAAGCACTTTGTTAAAAAAATTGCATTTTATATGATTCCTGCCATTTGCTGCTAAATCTGGGCTGGTCAGAATGCTGCAGCGATACTTGATCTAAATAAAAACCTGGCAGTAAAATGTAGAGTGAAAGTTAAATCCTCTTGCTGTTTTAACTTTATCATAAAGATGACATAGGCAAGCTGTGCAGCTTTACATTTTAACCAGGGGACTCTGTGGCATTTAAAACCGTCTAGAAATGGTTGTACTTTAATGCCAGTAATAATCTGCTTCCTCTATTGTCATTAAAATATATACGTTTAGTGTATCACACAAACAGATCTTATAAGGGTAACGTTAAAAACCCCAACAATTGTACATGTTCTGTTTTTGAAAATTGTGGCATGTATTTTTGGGTGAAGATCATTAGAGAAGAGCTCTCTAAAGGTTTTCTGTGTTCATACATGGTATACAGATCGCTCATAATGAAGTCCAGAATCTTACGTTAAGTGAAGGCATTGTGAATTCACCTCAAATAAACCCATTGTTCCAAAAGCAATTATAAACTATGACTCTAGTACTACTATGATTTTTAAAAGAAAAATTACAAAAAACGTTCTTCCTCGTTTCAGATACACTGGATTCTTTATAGAGTTTGTCTCCATATGAAAGCATGCTGTCCAGTTGTTCTTGTTACGATCTTGTCTGAGTTTTGAATTGGGTGCCACACTTTTCCAGTCAATATGATTGCTTGTTCTACTGTACCATGTATGATTCTTGTCCTTTCCTATATCCTTCATGACAGATTATGATGTGGCTTTATATTGTGCCTTACTTGTACATTTAAACTTAACGTCTTCATTCCCTTCCACTTCCTAAATCTTTCACTTCGACCTTTTTGGTAAGAGAATCAGCGCAATTATAAAAACATCATGAAGGATTTCAGATGGGTATGGTTTCAAATTCCCTCTCTTTATAGTTATTTTATATTTGTATGGAAGACCACTTTTGAATGGTCTTTAAATATGAGAGGGAAAGACTAGCAGTAATTTCACTACATCCCTTTTTTCTGACTTTCATGAATTGGTCCTACATCTTCTTTCTGATGCTTGACTTTATTTGCTCCCTAGCAACAGTCTGCATTTAAAGAAAGGTGTGTTCAGTTCATCAGCTTGAAGATGACTATTTCATCTTTCCAGAATTTTTTAGGAGAAGAATACCCGTTTTGTTTGTTTTATAAAACAGATGACAAGTCTCTTTAAAAGAAACAGAAGTACAGTACTTTTGAAATACAATGCTGTTAGTTTGGATTTCTTTTTTATATATAATATTCATACAATTATCTGATGTTTGCCTTCATTAATAAAGCTGTTAGTTTATTCACCAAAATGTCAAGAATGGATGTGCTTTTCTTTATTCCATACATTTAAAAAATATTTTAGCTGCTAAGATTTAGTTAACTTTCTAAGAAACAAATTCAAGTTGCCTTCAGCAGGAATTACCAGAAGCTTATGTTCCCTTTCTTTATATAGTCTTCCTAAAATTCTGTTCAAGTATTTTCTAGTTAATTATGTAAGAGAATGTTAGCATCTCTCCAAATCTTGAAACTTGAATTTTGAGAATGCATTGAATTATGCTTTCAGTGTTAAAGTAAAAGGTTTCAATTATCTTTCTAGTGAAGTCTGTTGTGGAATACCATTTCCCATGGAACTGAGGCCGTTTCCACAACTTTGCACAGAATCGCAGTCTTGTTCTTCCCTTGGATCATGACAAATAAGTCTCACACAGTGCCGTAATACTTGTGGATTCTTTTGTAATCTTTGTAATCTTATAAGGGCATTATGAGAAGATGACTCCATGTTTTTTTAATATTTCAACCACATTGGGATGTGACAATGAATGTCAAGTGTAGGAATGGTTGTTTCGTTTTAAGGAATAAGCATGTTGGGGAAAGATGATGAAAACGGACTACTGACAGTTTTACACTTCCGTAGGCAGGTGGGATTATGTGTTGAAGCATAATCCTCATGCTTCGCAAGCTGACTGAAATTGTAGAAATTCCACCTAGGAGCCGAATGATGCCAAATTGCCATTTTTCTTTAGAAAAGAGAGGTTTGGGTGTAGCAGTGAGGGACGAGAACCCCAAAACTGCTTCCAAACAGTATTTTGGAACTGAAGACTCGGTGACTCACAGTGAAGAACACGAGGGTCCGGTATCTCAGTGTGCCAAGTTCAGGTGAACTAGGTTTGCCTCTTTCATAACCATGTAAACACAATGGTGTAGTTCATTAAATTCTGGGTGTATGGGAGCGGGACTGACGTACCGTGTCTTGCTCTTCACCCTTTGTTTTTTTCAGAACCAAATAACAGAAATGTGTATGTGTGTACTGTATCTGCCTTCCCACCACATCTTTATGACACTGTATTCCACTGCCTGCTTTTTTTTTTTTTTTTTTACCTTCTTTCCCTAGGATTTGTCCTCTAACTTAGCATTTGTGATTAACAGTTGATATTAGGGCTGACCGCACATGAGAAGTCACAAGAGAAGAGCGGAAGGGCAAGAATTCAGAGCATTTGTTCATATGATGTGGCAACCTCTTTTGCATAGTGGCGTAGGATCCTGTTTGTAATGCTATCATAAATATTCTGTAGTTTTGTTTCCCCATTCCCCCAACTGGAGCTATGAAACTTTTTATTGGATTCAGTCTTGTCTTTTGTCTGGAAAGAATTTTATCTTGTTGACGCATGAGCTGTTTAAAAATTATTCTATTAAATGTTGGTTAATAGTTGTGCAGTTTTTCTTTTCAGAAGAAAAGGCAATTCAAATGTTGCCTTTGTTTTCTGTCACCTTCCAACCCCTCAGCACTTCTAGTCAGATACAGATTCATCAGTGTATGCAACATCCTTTGTAATTTAAAATAAAAAACGATGAAAAGGTTTTGAATTGTTTGCCTCATGTTTTTGCCCTTGCTTTCTCTGTTGCTCTTCTGTGGCTTCCCAAGGTAGCCAACCCTCTCCTCCTCTACAGAGAAATTGCAAACTAAAGACAGCAGTGAACTGTGGGTTATGCTGTCCCTCTCTTGGTCTAGGGCATAAAGAGCTAACATTTTGGACACTTGGGGCTTTTTCAGCTCCCTGGTGAAATTTAGCTGTTATGGAAAATGATTTGTTGATGAAAACATTTGCGTTCTTCATAGTTGGGAATGTAGTTTACACGTATTTTTCCTCTTCGAGCAAGCAAGGGAAATAAAATGTTCCACGTCTCTCCTGACTTAAACGTTTGTATGTATTTATATGTTTAATAATTCAGAATAAGTCTCTGAGATAGGCTGGGTATCTACACACAGCTTTAAGTCAGGGGACCCGAGTGAACACCGTGGTGGCTGTGTGTCCCTTCAGCCAACAGACATCTGTTTAGCACGTGCTCCGCTAAGACTTGTGCTAGGTACTGGACTATAAGCAGATTAGAGGGACATCCAGGAACTCCGGGTTTGCTGAGAGGAGGCAACATGTAAACAGGATCGTGGAATAAGACAAGAGCGGTTACAAATGGAAAGGGTTCTGGGTATATCATCGCTGAGATATCTGCAGGGCGGCGGGTACCACATCCAGTAGGGTATGTTAGAGAAGACTGACTTGTGTTCGTGACATCCCAGGATTCTTGAAGAAGCTCTTTTTGCTTCATTCAAGTGATATTGGGGCCATCTGAGAGCAAAGTGGACATGGCCTCTCAGGGACTGGTTCTGCTTCAGGACTTGGCCTCCGTCACAGGAGCCTCTGTCATGGTCTGGGAACTTTTAAGGAGATGGGTGAGCCAAGTCTGTATAGTCCTTGGGAAACCAAACCTTTTGTGGGTAGCACCTAGGTAAATGGGTGATTTCAGAACCAGGAGAGCTCTTTAGCAAGAGGGAAAGACATAAGTTGGGAAACGCTTTAATATCCCTGCTAAAAGGTTTATAATAGGAAGAGGGCGTTAGTCTAGAAGGCTCGGGGCACCTGGTTGGCTCAGTCCATTCGGCTCAGCTCATGATCTCACAGTTCATGAGTTTGAGCCCTGCATCTGGCTCTCTGCTGTCAGCTTATCAGCGCAGAGCCCACTTTGGATCCTCTGTCCCCTTTCTCTGCCTTGCCCCCGCTTGCACTCTCCCCAAAATAAATACATAAAAAAAGTCTAGAAGGCTGGGGTAGCATTCATTAAACCCCTGCTAAATGCTTTCCTGTCAGGTAACTCAGCTCTCAGTGGTGCAGTGAGGTGGGTGGTCATGTCCATCTTAACAAAGGCAGCTAAACCCAGATAAGGGGACTCACCTCAGACCCAGCGTATATGATATTCCCAATTCAAACTCCAGTCTGCTAACTGCCCTGATAGACGACTCTTACTCCTGAAAGACCAGACCAGGTCATAGGCAATCTATAATATCTGTGTAGGAGGGAGATAATAGGCTTAGAATCTGAAACCAGAAAGAACTAAAGCCAAAAGCTAGCAGATGTAGTGACTGTAAGTGAGTCTCAGGATCTGTGGGTAGAGGTGATAGAAGCAAAATAGGATTGGCCAAAGCAGTCAGTGATGGAGAGTGTTGGTCACCACATTGTACATCTGTCCCTCAGAGATGGCCTCTAGCTTAAGGGCTTTGAGTTGGGTCTCTTCATTAGAAGGGAGCATGTTGGAAGGTGGAGAGAAAGGGATCTATGTTTTTTTTAATTGCTACATAGGGACTTGCATGGAGACTGTCAGTTGCATAGAAGCCAGATGTGACAGAGGCCCAAGGTCATGCACCCTAAATAGGGAGCTTCTATTTGAGGCTCCAAAACTTTTGAGTGATCCAAAAAATATCAGTTTCTTTACACGATTTTAAGCTTCAAACATCACCAGGAATGACCTTAAACTATACAGGGTCTAGATAAAGAAAACTTTAAAATAATATGAAGGACATAGAAGAAGACTTGAACAAATGGAAAGAAAGACCAAGGTCTTGAACTGGAGTAGCCAACAACATGAAGCTGTCAGTCCTCAAAATTAAAAAATGTAATGCTATCTTAATAAAACACACCAACGGAGTTAAACACACACACACACACACACACACACACACACACACACACACACCTAAGTTCACATAGGGGGAAAATAACAGCTGGAAGATGCTAGGGGGAAAAAAGACTGGGTGTTTAATCCAAACATTAAAACACATAAAACTATAAATAAAACTTTAAAAAACTATAAATAAAGCTGTCATTTTGGTGCATAAATGATTAGGCCAATAGAACAGAAGGAAAAGTTTAGAAATAGATTCACACGTAAGAATTTATCATGGTAAATGTGCCATCCAGAACCAGTGAGAAAAAGACGGCTTCTTCAGAAAAGAGTGTAGGAACAACTGGCAAACTCTCTGGAGAAAGAAAAGTTGGCTCTGCATCTCATACCATATTTCAAAATGTAAATAACAGGAAATGTGGGCAATTCCTTTAAAACTTGTGGGGTGGGGAATGGGAGAGAACTTTATAAATTGGATCCCAAATCCGGGAGTCATAAATAAAGATTCGTAAGTTCTATGTGAAACAAAAATAAAAAACCAAAGCCTCTTTGAAGCCAAAAACAACATAAGCCAAGTCAAAATGCTATCTCTGGACTACGAAAAAAGTTCATCTCTAAGGGCTAATCCTCCTAATACATTGAGAGCTCCTGGAAACTAGTATGGAAAAAAATCCCAACCACCCAGTAGAGAAAGGAGTAAATATAAAAGCACTCGATCTCATTCATGATAAGAGAAATGCATATTAAAAGATGGCATTTTTCATTGAATCATAGTGGCAAAAGTCCTAACGTGTTTTGTTAGCACGCCACGTTGGTGAGGCCATGGGAAAGCAGGCATTTGTACCACCTTGCTGTGGGTAACTGACATGACCTTTATGAAGAGCAATTTGGTAGTTTGTATCTCTATTTTAAAATGCACACATCCTTTGATCTAGCATGTCCATTTGCACTGGCCAAATCATCCTGTGCCTCTTTCTTCATGTGTGAAATGCCGATAACTCTATCTCACAGGGCTGTTGTGAGAGTTGTTAGAGGAAACACATTAAGAACTTAGTACAAAGTGCCTGGCACGTAGGAAGTGCTCTAAAAATGTCAGTAATGGAATAGCAGCTAAATGCACATTGAGTTCCTAAACACATGCTGCATATACTATGCTGAGCTTGGTGCTTTTCAAGTAGTACCTCATTTAATACTCCAATCAATCCTGTGATTGTCACCAGTTAGCCTCAGGATTCTGAGGCACAGAGATGTGAAGTGGGTTGTCCAGCAGGATTCAAGCAGGGTTGACTCCCAGGCTTCCCTTAAGGGAAGCTGTGTGGAGCACTGGAGTAACACAAGCCCCATGTGTACAAGACTACCCAAGGGGCTATATATGGGTTTTGAGGGAAGATGTGGCTCTCAGTTAAGGCTCTGCCACTTTCAAGTTGGGTAGGCTTGGGGGCAGGGGTGTTCCGTTTTGTTTCGCTTTTGATCTACTCTCAGTCCATCCACCAATCTGTAAAACTGGGGTATAACTATTTCAAGTGTGGTTGGGAGGATTAAATTAGACATTCAGGCCTTCCTAATTCATGCTTGCTGGTGTGAACAAAAGTACACAGGGTGGGCGCAAAAGGGGAAAAGCATTCTGAGAAGAGGGAACAGCTACATTCCAAAGCTACAGATCTAAAAAGAGCCTGAGGAATCCAGGAGTGGGGTCCGTGAGGTGGCTGATGGCCTTGAAGACCACCTAAGAAACTTGGACTATTTAATAATAAAACCAAGAGCCACCATTTGTTGAGGGTCTGCTCTTTATTATTTCCATCAAAACTACTCCAGTGAGGTAAACTTAACAAATCCAACTGTACACAAAAGGGAACTACAGGAGCCACGGAAGAGCTGTAAGCTGGAGGTGTCTTGATCAGTTGTGATTTTAGAACTCTCAGACCAGCAGGAGGTGCTCTAAGAGCCCCCGCCTTGAATCCCAGCATTGAAAGTATTAATAATAATAACACTTGTCATTTTTTCATTTACTCCACAATTTATGTTCACTGTAGGACATATGAAAAATACACATGTTTAAAATTTAAGGAGCTATAAAAATTGTTAATTCCACCCTCCAGAGACGTGTTGGGAGGATCCCAATTGCGTTGGGAGTATCTCAAAAGTATCCCAATACTTTCCTTCCAGTCTTTTTTCCCTTCCTTTATGCAAAATATATGTAGTCATTAGAATGGCTTTTAGGTAGATGTGGAGAGGCCGCTGTGAAAACGCCCTTGATATTCCCCCTCTTCTTCCTCTTCTGAAGAGCACCAAGGGGAGAGGCTGACTCCCTTCGTGCGTGTCTTCAGGGAAAGTCCCCAGGACTCATCGCCGCCACCCTGGCTCGCCTCAGGCCGGTCTCTAGGGGGCGCTGCCGCAAGACCCGGAGCGACGGAAGGCGACGCGGAAACGCGCTTAAATTTGGGCACCGCCGCTGCCCGTAGCCGGCGTCCTCAACATGGCGGCTCCCCAGGATGTCCACGTCCGTATCTGTAACCAAGAGATTGTCAAATTTGACCTGGAGGTGAAGGCGCTTATCCAGGTACTAATTCCCGGGACCCCCGTCGGGCCCCAGCAGCCCTAAACCAAGGCTCTGTTGGCCTCCTGTGAGCTCGGAGGTCTCACTCCCAAGCTTTCCCCACTTGGTCAAGTCTCCGAGGTCGTTGGCCCCGTCCCATGGCCGGCTACTCCCTTGCAGTCCTCTTTTGGTCTGTCTCCTTGACCGTTGGCCATGATCCTCCATCCAGTTGCGGTTGACTGGCCTCTTCTGGACACTCCCATGCTCCCCCATCTCTGACCAAGCTTACTCTTTATGACCCCCATTGGTCCCTCCCCCTTGCACTTCACGACCCGGACCGCCACACAACATACCTGTCATCTTGGGTGGCTCCGCCTTCTGATGCCGTCCTCCCCACCGGTTGATGGCGTCCTGAGGGCCATTGGCCCCGCCCCCTCCTGACCCGCTCCGCTGGGTGACACCAAAGGCCGCCTGACATGGGAGGCACCGGGTGAAATGAACGTTACCTAGCCCATAGTTGTGACTCTGTAAATGAGGAAATCGCGTAAAATGCCAAGGCCTGGATGAGAAAGCATTTGGGCAGAGCTGCGACCCGGACGGGGAAAGTCAGCCTAGAGGAGGGACTAAGGGAGTCGCTACTAAACTTCCTTTAACTGAAGGGGTAATTGAGATGCTTTGCCTTAAGCTATTTAAGGGTAGAAGATCGCAGAGCAGTGAGCCAGTTGGCACAGTCAAGAGTTAGATTTTTTTTTTAATGTTTTATTTATTTCTATGAGAGAGAGAGAGAGAGACAGTGTGAGCAGGGGAGGGTCAGAGAGAGAGGGAGTCACAGACTGAAGCAGGCTCCAGGCTCTGAGCTGGCAGTCAGCACAGAGCCCGACGCGGGGCTCGAACCCACGAACCGCGAGATCATGACCTAAGCGAAAGTCGGACGCTTAACCGACTAAGCCACCCAGGCGCCCCGGCACAGTCAAGAGTTAGGAATGTAGAAATGACTCCTTGAAATTAGCAAAAAGAAACCAAGAGTATTAAACCTAGGTTTTAGGCAAGTCTTTTCCATTTCCAACAAGTGTTATTAAACATTAGATGGTAGACTCAGAGTTTGCTGCTAACTGTGGCAAAAAGTGAAGGGAAGTAGGATTCCCTATGGAAACCAGCTTCAGGATAAACCAGATTAGTGCTTTCTCATGGTGCAAGGAAGTGTGATTTAATGAGTAAGGCGGGGAACAAGTGAGGAAACTTGATGCAAACATTTAAACTTCTTCAACTTCACTTCTTCTCCATACACACCGCAGTACTTCTGGGCTGATTCTAGAAATATAAAGGTAGGATTCATACAAACGAAATTGCCTTTTCACATAATCTAAATTGTGTCAGCCCCTTTTGTACTATATTTGGATTCTCATGGTTGCCACTGAGGAAGATTGATGATAGGTAGATTGACTGCACTCTTACTGTGTTCCAGCTCTTCTGCAAAGTGCTTTACATACATACATGGTTTATGTGGTAGGTAATGTGATGAGGATACTGAGGCACAGAGAATTCAGTGACTTTTTGTTACACAGCTAATAACTGTGATTATTTTGAACATCCAGAAACAAATTCTAAACCCCCCCCCTTGAATATGTCTATAAACACTGTGATTTATAATAGATGGTTTGTAAAATCAGTTTGGAGTTAATTTTGTCATTAGGATGCCAGGAATTGATCATCCTGATTTTCAAGTTGGAAAGTTCTAAAGTTAGAGGTTCACTTTTGGATGTCCATTCTTGTTGGACATGTTTTTATACTGCTCAGGTGGTTGTTTTGTTAAACTTCAGGAACTGATAAGTCAGAGCAGCCGTGTTTCTTTTTATACTTTGATATTACCTGCTCAGAATTAAAGAGACATGAGAGAAATGTAAATGGGAATGTTTCTGCTTGTGTTGCCACGGGAAACAGCAAAGATCAGGATGAATCACAGTCAGCAGGCCAGCCTCAGTTGTGGTCTAAGCCAGTCCTCTCGCTGTACGGATGGTATCATTGCACTTCGTTGCCTTGAGAAAGGCCCCCTCACCTTTTCAATGTCTCCTAGGATATTCGAGATTGTTCAGGACCATTAAGTGCACTCACTGAACTGAACACTAAAGTGAAAGAGAAGTTTCAGCAACTGCGGCACAGGATACAGGTGAGTGGCTGCAGAAGTAACATGTGGAGCACGTGTCGCCTTGAGGGGGCTCCGTCCTGGCAGTCACCGCTGCTTAAGAGCTGTCCAGTGTCTTCCGTAGACATTTAGACAGTGAGGGTAACTGTATTAACTTGCTCTCAGGGTAAAGGTGAAGAACTCTTGAATGTATCAGTAGTGTCTCTTGGGGTTTATTTCATGCTGCTCTTTGTCCCGCCTCTTCCTCCCTGTTTCTGAGGTCTCCGATCACGTCACATGCGCTATAACCCTCCTGGATAATCCAGCTATGGTATATGTGCCAAACACCACTGGAGCAAGACGTACCCGTTTGCATAGCCCGTTTCTGCTGCTGTGCCCTAGAGAGAATAAGACGGGCACATGGATCTGCCCATCCCTGGGTGGGTGCTGGGCTACTTTGTCTCAGCGCGTGGAACTAGAGTTTAAAGATCTGTGCTTTTCCTGTGACATGGCCCCAGACGCCAGCCAACAACTCTGTTGTTGCTGAACTGAAGGTAGTCTATTTCGAAGCTGGTAGAAAAACTGACTGGTAGAAAAAGCTAGTAGAAAATTTGGACCTGAGGAGTAGTATGTCTGGGTCCTGGTGTTGCCTTCCTAAGGGATTTTCAAGGGCAGTTTTGAAAATAAGAAGTAGTTTTTGTCATAAGAGGTCACTTTAGGATTTTAGCAATGTCACTGAACCTAGCTGATCTTTTTTTTTTTCTTCTGCCTCCATCTCTAGCACTGATTTGATCATTTAATTTTTAGTTTTAAAAGGCTATTACTTTTGCATGTTTCATATATATGTGTGCGTGTGTGTGTGAATATGGATACTTGGTGAAAAGTCTCATGTATGAGTCTTATTCTCTGTTCCTCTCCTCCACACAAATAACCACAGTTGTTATTTATGTATCTTTCCTGGTGTATCTACTCAAATACTAAAAATATATATATATATTTTTTTCTTATTTCCACTTCTCATCTAAAAGATGGGATACTAAATGGCACTTAAAAAAATTTTTTTTAATTCTTTCTATTTTTGAGAGATGGAAACAGAGCATGAGTGAGGGAGGGGCAGAGAGAGAGGGAGACACAGAATCTGAAGCAGGCTCCAGGCTCTGAGCTGTCAGCACAGAGCCCAATGCCAGGCTTGAACTCACGAACTGTGAGATCATAACCTGAGCCGAAGTCAGATGCTCAACCAACTGAGCCCTCCAGATGCCCTGGGAATCTAGATTTTAAATAAATAATTAAGCAGGTAATCAACTGACTACATCTGCAAAACTTTTCCTATACATTGTTTTTTTTCCTCTGCCTCAGCAATAGCTGGGACCATAACTTGGAAGTTATCTCTGAGCTAGTAAACTGGTGGATACAGACGCGTGTTCCTGACCCGCACCTGCAAATTAGTACATAAATTTTTATATAAATATATAAATTAGTGTATAAATGGACTAATACATTGATGTTGTCAGCATCAGTAGCTTCAGTGGAACTGGAACTTGCTTTAACCTGTAAACAAAAAATAGGATTTGATTCTTGAGGTATTGTGACATCTTCCATCAGAGTCTGTCTGATACTTCCATCACCTGAAGTTCTTGGGGGGTTTCAGACAGCTGGTGGCTGTGTCTCCTGCCCCTCGCTAAGGCAGATCGTTTGTCTCCTGGTGTTTGGTTGTTCTGGACTGTGAGTGGTCCTCTTCAGCACACCTTATCTCTGGGACTTTTGTACAGCCCAGGCTGAAGGCAGGTCTTTTTAGAGGCCTTGGGATTGGCTTTTACTATGTCTCCCCGGGATTGAAAGTCTGGGAGCACTTTTTATGTTAATTTCTCCTCATGGAGCTTCCCAGACCATTCAGAGAGGATGAATTGTAACTCTGGATCAGCTTGAGGGTAGCTCCATGCTTTTAAATTCTTAGGAGATTCTTTGTAGCCTTCTAGCCAGCGCACACAGCATATAAAGGACAAGCTCCTTTGCTGTCTCCCCTGCTGGTTGACACTTTCCTAGTTCCTCATTTCACTGGAGGTATATCTCTTCATGGGTGCTGGATTTGTGGCTCCCAGCTCAGATAACTCAACACTTTGTTTCACTGTCCCTATGTGGGCTTTAAGACCTTCAAACTGTTTGCTACCAGTATATAATGAAATAGATACAGAGATTGAGAAGAAGCATTAAGACACGTACAGTAGTTTGATATTTTCGTGATCTCCCAAAGTGGGACCAAGGGGCTCCTAATTATTAATCCTCCCCCCCGCCCCACCACTTTTGTTTTCAGGCATGGCCTAGACTACAGGAGTAATGTCCTATCCCAGGGCAGCTGAGCCTCACTCACAGGCTGACATCTCTGGCTCTTAAGTTTCCTTCTCACCTTGGGGCCCTGGGGATTGTCCTTGCTTTCTTGCAGACTCAGCTGTATATTTAGAAGGATGTTTGCTACATGTCACCTGGCATTCCTAAGCATTCTCTTTTAGGAAGTTACTTAGGTGCTATCATATAACCTCTCAAGAAAGAGAAGTACTCTTTGTTTTTTATATCGGCTTTTAAAATCATTTTAACATAGAGCTATTTCCCCCCAAAGGAGCTGGAGCAGTCAGCTAAAGAGCAAGACAAAGAGTCAGAGAAGCAAGTTCTGCTCCAGGAAGTGGAGAATCACAAAAAGCAGATGCTCAGGTAGGTGGGGCCTGTGCTGCACCACTTGCTGTGCCAGAGGCTTGTGCAGAGCTTTGCCTTATAAACCTGGCTTCATGGTTTAATTGTGTCATTTATACACAGACTGAGTGTCCTCTCTAGACCCGTAATTCTCCAAGCAGGGGCAGGCAGGGGTATTGGTAGGTCAGATTGTGTATATTTTACAAAAGCGTATTTAGCCTTATACTATATTTTATATTTTTAAAACCAAAAAATGGTCGCTTTTGTAATACAGAGTCCTTTTTCTTTAAGGATAATTGATACCAGAAAAAATCCACTGAAAATGAACCTACTTATGGTGAACCAAAATTTAGAAAGTTTTGAATGGGTCCTTACCTTAAAAAATGAAACCAAAAAGATGTAACTAAGGTTATGTTATATTAAATAAAATGGAGTTATCATTATAGCTCGTGTGCTCACCTTTGATTATTATAGTGGAGGTACATGCTCTTTCTTGGTATTGAGTTAGGGAACTACTCAACAAAATTGTCTGATGCCATGAAACCGTACCTCCGCCTTCACGTTTGACTTTTGCATCATAGTCATACAGAGGATTGATGTTGCAGAAATCTCGGAGGGCTCTGTCAACTCTCCCAGTCCTCTGGTACGCAGCTCGCTCTCTTTTGAAGCCCCTGCTGGGTGTCGTCCTCCTAGGTGTTCTCTTCCTCCTTGATAATTGCTCTGACTCTGCCAGATCTGTATTTGTCTGTGGTTTTGCTTCTGATTTGGATAATTCTCCAGCATGATCCTTGCTGAGAGCAGCTCTGTTTATACTGCCCAGCAGTCAAGAGAAGACTGGGTGACAAAGATGTGGGCATGGTAGAGGCTGGCATAAGTGGGGAGGGATGGGTGAGTGGTGACCGGCGTTAAAGTGCTTGGCTCAGTAGTATCACTCTGTGTCACGACAGCATTCGCTCCCCTTGGCCCCCAGGGATACTCAGAGTGTAAACACTGAGTAAAGAGGACCCCTTGTATAAGTGTAGTAAATTACACCAGGTAAAGGGAAGGGAGAGAAGGCAGTCAGTGAATACTTTGGCAGCCGTGCATTGAAGCAGTAGTTGTGCTTGCCTGGGGTATCATGCTTATCACACCGGTCAGCAAATAATTTGTTTGCCTGTCTCTCTGCCCAAGAAATGTGAGCCACTTGAGGGCCGCCACTACGGCCCACTCATCTCTGTGTCACAGGGCCTGCCGAGCCGAACTCCTGTGCTAACAGTTTGAAAATATAATGGATTCTTTTTAAGTATCAGGTGTGAAATGGCACAACAGGTGGCAGAGAACCATTTTCATGAGTTAAGCACAGAGGTGCTATTAGATAAACACCCCGTCAGTTCACACGCCCCCTGTTTGACTTTGTCACTATCTCAGGGGTTAGCATAACTGATGGGCACTAGCTGCCTAAGAGTTCCAGTGCTTGAGTTTGGTTCTCTAAGGAACCCAGATAACATTTTGATAGTCCAGCGACAAAGGCTATGCCGCCAACCCCAGGGAGCTGGTCACCAAATTTGAGTTGTCGCTCACAAGGGAGATCAGGTGAACAGTGTAAATAAATCATGCCAGGCTGGGCCCGGCTAACACATTGTGTTTGTACTGTTTGCGATTGGTCTGGGTGTGTAAAGGACAGCAGATCTTAAAGAAATATCGAGCAAAACCAAAGTGCTGAACCACTGTATTGTACACCTGAAACTAATATTACACTGTGTGTTAACTGGAACTTTAAATAAAAACTTAGAAAAGAAATACTGGGGAAAACTGTCTGTGATTTCTCTACTTCCTCCCGCACACATTAATTGGCTGATGTGCCAGAAACTGTTGTTCTGGGTTCTGCTGATCCAAAGATGAGTAAGACACGGTTCTCAAAACAGAGCCATAAAGTGTTATAGATGACTTGACAGAACAGGGCCTTGTGTGCCCAAGGCGGGTGTGAACTCTGAAGCCATTGCTGGCTGTAAACACAGAAGTGCTGTGACCAGACTGCTCCCTCTGGCTGCCCTGGAGGGAAGAGACAGGAACTGGGCAGTAGAGCAGTAGGGGACATCTGGCAGGCAGCGTGCAAGGGCCAAACCAGAGGTGTTGGGGCCTTTGCTGGGGCAGCCAAGAGGAGGAAGTGTGGAGGTGGAGGGGGCTCTGTGGGCCAGGCCTCGGCAGTCCTCCCCGTCGCTCACTAGCTGTGACTTGACCTGACTGACAGAAACTCACGTGAGACCCTTCTGATTCCAGCAATCAGACCTCATGGAGGAAGGCTAATCTCACCTGCAAAATTGCCATCGACAATCTAGAGAAAGCAGAACTTCTCCAGGGAGGAGACCTCTTAAGGCAAAGGTATCTATCTTTTTGTCTTTCTGAGCCCTGATGATAGAATAGACGGCAATCGACAAGGTGCAAAACCCACTGTAGGCCACCCCTTCTTGTTTTCCACATAAAACTGGTAATTTTATCGCATAGGTAATATTTTTTAAAGTGTGAAACAAATACATGCTTACTTCTAATAAATTGGTAGAATAAAGAAAAATATTGATTATAAAATGAAAATAAGCTATAATCATGTTATAAATGTTTTTTTATTTTTTTACAAAGTCAAAAATCGTACCATATATAAAATTTAGTATCTTGCTCTTCTTCACATTGTATCGAACAAAGACTTGCCTGTTGTTTCAGAAAACTGTTTAGACAAAGTTTTGAGAACACATAGTATTCCCTTGTATTAACTAATCCCCTATCTGTGTGTGTTTACATTTCTAGTTTGTCAGTATTGTAAATAATACACAAGGGCACGTCTTAGGACATAAGGCCTCGTCCACATTTTGGATATTTCCTTTGGAGAGATTCCCAGGATGAGATGATTGGGCAAAAGATGGGAACGTTTCTAAGGGTCCCGATATGTATTGCCAGATTGCTTCCGCAGAAGCAACTGGTTTGCGTTCCTACTAGCAGTCTTCAGCACGTCCTTGGTGGCATTGACTGTGATCATCGATACTGAAGTATATATGGTATTTTGATAAATAAAAACAAAACAAACAGGATCTCATTTGAAGATGGGGTTTTCTTGCAGCCAGCCTTTGTTTGACATTCCTCCTCCCACTCTGGACTTTTAGGAAGACCACCAAAGAGAGCCTGGCCCAGACGTCCAGTGCCATTACGGAGAGCCTCATGGGGATCAGCAGGATGATGTCCCAGCAGGTGCAGCAGAGCGAGGAAGCCATGCAGATGCTAGGTAAAGCCAGATCTGGAGTTAGAAGCTCCTTCCAGAGACTCCAGCTCCAGAGCCCTTGCCTTGGCCCCTGCCACCAGGCTCTTCCATCTCTGTCCCCAACTCCAGTCCCGAAGCTTGCTAATGCTTGTGGCTTCTTACTTCTTTTTGACAGCGTGGTCTTGCCCAAAGTGTGATGTGTTGCTCTTATTTCTCATTTTGGTTTTTGTAGTCGTACTAGAAGATCTGCACACTACTGTCAAAGTGTTTCCCCAGCAGAAGCACTTCCAGGGTCTCACGTGAAAGGCAGAGACCCCCCAGGCCTTCTCCTGGAGAGTGGGTGCTTGCAGGGCTGGGGCGGGGGTGGGGGCGGGGAGTCTGTATTTCTTTATCTGGGGTTCGGTGGACCCATGTGGCCAGGGAGGCTCGGGAATCATTGCCTAGGGAGATGTTTAGTGTATTGGCTGCTGATGAGGCTGCTGGGTCCCCTGCTTACAGTTCTACTCTCCAGTGTTATTTTCACTGCGAGCTCCCTTTAAAAGATACAGTCAGAGGCCATAGAAGAAGAAGCTGCTGGAGCATCTGGTTCTCTCCCAACAGCTTGCCCGTAGGGCCTCGCTTGTAATGCAGAAGAGAATTGGCCCTCTTCAGGGTCCTCCATATAGGAAAACAGAAGGGAGTGTTTACTCTGAAACACTCTTGGCAGATGTCACAAAGAGACAGAAGTAGAGAGAATGGTGCACAGGTCCAACGGACCCGTCCCCCAGCTTCAGCAGCTGTCTGCTCTTGGCCAGTCTTGTTTCAGCTCCACCCTTCCGTGCCCTCATCTGGATTATTTTGAAGCAAATCACAGACATCATCTATAAATATCTCAGTGTGTCTCTCTGAAAGATTACAGACTCTTGAAACAAAAAACAAACAAAACCAGAGCACAATGCCATTATCACCCCTAAACAGATTCTGTAATGTTGAGCTACTTTCTTTTTCAGTGCACTATTCAGACAGGCAGAAGCACAAGGAAAGCAAGCAGCCTGTCCCCAAGGTCATTCCCTCTGTTTGAAACTTATCTGGGTATTTAGGCTCAGAACCAGCCGGTTACCTCCTCTACATGAGGCTCAAGCCTTGGTAGAGGCCTTGGAGAACATGCAAAAAGGGGGGCCGCCTGGCCTTAGAGTGGAGGGCTTTTCTGATTTGGTGCAGGTGACGGGGCGCACACACATACCAGGAACAGATAATGTAGTTAAGTGGTGAGAAGAGTGTGGAGATGCTGATGGCCTCTGGAGTGTTCAGGGCTGTTCTGGGGCCCATTCTCTCCTACAAGAAGAGAAAGCTGTTGAAGAAAAAAAGAATGCAATTCTTTTCATTTTTTTTTTTTTTTTTAATTCTTTTCATTTTTTAAAAGTGTGTTTATTTTTGAGAGAGAGAGAGAGAGGGCAAGTGGGGAGTGGGGGCCAGAGAGAAAGGGAATCTGAAGCGGGCTCTGGGCTCTGAGCGGTCAGCATAGAGCTCCATGAGGGGCTTGAACTCACAGACTGTGAGATCATGACCTGAGCCCAAGTCAGACCCTTAGCCAACTGAGCCACCCAGGCACCCCAGAAGAAAGCAGTTCTTAATCCTTTCCTTGTAGCTCATAAATTCAGCTTGATTTAAAAGTCTGATAGGACTACTGTTTTGTTTTGTTTTGTTTTGTTTTGTTTTAAAGCATATTAGGGATATAATGTCTGGAATTTGCTGGAATTGAGTGGAGCAGTAGTATGGGTACAAGAGTTAGTGCCAGGGAGTTAGTGGGGATGGGTGATGGGCACGGGGCATTTCATGATCCTATTCTATCTACTTCGGTGATGCTTTAAAACTCCCTATAATATAATGTTTTAAAAGCAAGGTCTATTAGATTTCTTTTCTGAACAAGCTCTTACTTAGGTTTTTTGAATGGCAGCAGGCCATTTCAGGAGGGATTTCTGATATCTAAGTGTTTATTTTCGCCCCTCATCTATCTGTATATAAACGCTTCTCTGTTTCAATTCCGTTTACTTACTTATTAACTTTTAATTTTGTGAAAAGGTAATATATATTACACAATTAAGGAGAAACCTCTAGGCCAGCGCTGTCCAACAAACACAATGTGAGCCACACACATAACTTTAAATTTTCCAGAACGCACATTTAAAAAGGTAAAAAGAAACCTTTGAATTTATTTAACCCATTCCACATCAAATATCACCATTTCAGTGTGTGATGAACATGAAAAATTATTGATGCTTTACCTTTTTTTTTTTTCATGCCGAGTCTTTGAACTCACGTGTGCATTTGACACTTAGGGACATCTCAGTTTGGTGTAGCCACGTTTCACATGTGCCACAGGTGCCACCTGTGTCCGGGGGCTGCCGTGCTGGACCGCACAACCCGCAGTACGAGAGAGAAAACGATAGCCCTCTTTCCTGACCTCCTCTTGACGCCTGTTAGACACCAGCCCTCCTCCCCAAGGGCAGCCGCTGTTACCACTTTCTTTGATGTCCTTCTGAGACCTTCCAAGAATGTCAGGAGCAAGCAAGTTAAATATTGTTTATCCTTTTCCCTCTTACACAAATGGAAACTTTCACATGTGCTCTTTCACACCTCACTTTCCCCCTGAACAGCATGTTTTGTTCTGTGGATGTTTTGATGATGCCTTGTCAGGCTTTGTGGGAGAATCTTGCCGGCTTGGCCTGTACCCTCAAGTGTCAGGCCCAGATACCTATACTCAGAAGTAAATTTGACTCCTGGACACCACGAGCCTTCAGGGACACATCCCTCCCCTTAGATTTCATAGTGGCCAGAGCACAGGCGTGTCGTCTTTAAAGCTACAGCAGCATCCCAGGACTGAAGGGCTGGTGTGTGTGAGGGCTTGGGGCAGGGCCCAGCCCAACTTTTCTGATCCCCCAGAGAGCAGATGTGACTGGCAGGGCTGCTGGCAGGGCACGCCTCGGGCGGACGATCTCGGTGACTCCCGGCCTCTACCCCCATACAGACCGTACAGTGCCTGGCCACGGTCACGCACGTTCGTTTGGGGACTGGTGGTTCTTCTCAGTGGCCCTCCCTGCTTCAGAAAACTGAGGTTGGCGGTCAGGAAAGGAACTCGCTTCTGCTTTTTTCCCTGGTGACGTTCACGTTGGAGAGCACCTAGTCCTGGCCCTGTGACATTGTACATGAACAAGCCGCATCACTCTGAGCCGCCTGGGGCCCGGAGGGGTGCTTCCCGTGTAGCAGCCTTATTCTTTGCTCCTCTGGATTGTCCCTGCTCACATATCTGCTTCTGGCTCACGGGAACTCGCTACAGAGTGCAGCGTTAGTGTGAGCCGGCCAGCAGGGCAAGGTCTTCGGTTTGGTACTCTACAGTCTCTGAGTCGGGCTTCCCTTCCCCCCTCTTTCGTTTCAGCCAATTCTTCGCGGACTATCCTGGATGCAAATGAAGAGTTTAAGTCCATGTCAGGGACTATCCAGTTGGGACGGAAGCTTATCACAAAATATAACCGCCGAGAGCTGACAGACAAACTCCTCATTCTCCTTGCCCTGGCCCTTTTCCTTGCGACGGTCCTCTATATTGTAAAAAAGCGGCTCTTCCCATTTTTGTAAGATGGGGAATTACCAGCTTTTGCCCTTTAAGGTCCAGTGTCAAGATCTGTCCGTGCTACCAGGCCCTGGCAAACCAGCCCACGCCTCCGTGGTCTGCTCCAGTTGTTCCGTGGCTTGGATGGAGATGCAGTCCCCCAGGTTTCCACAGGCGGCGGGCTTGCACAGGGCGAGCAGAGCAAGGTGTCATCAAGACACCTGCAGGGCCACAGGGACTCCAGGAGTCGTGACAGCAGTGCTTATGGCCGACACACGGGGCACTTGGAGGCCAGCCTTCAGGATTTGGTCCTCCTTTCTCTCCTCCTGCTGCGGCCTTAATGCCAGATCTCGTGGAAGGAAAAGTGGGGAGCAGGAGGATAAGGAAAACTCCTGTCCATTTCTTGAATAAACTTGATTGTATTTAATAGAATGAAATGCATTTAGATTATAAGGTGTCCTGCTGGGAATTTGTGTCCTGGTTTTGGTGTCCAAATGTCTAGGACGTATGAACTTAGATCATTTATTTGTTCATTCAGCAAACGGTTATTAAGCAATAGTCGTGTGCAGTGTATTGCAGACCCTGCTGCCTGTTACAAATAGATTGGCCAAGCAGCTGTGGCTCCGCCCTCAGGGAGCAAGAAGAACAAGGTCTCATAGGCTCTTAAGAGTTATGTCGCGAGAAGCCCCCACTGGAGGTGGCTGACACCACATATGAAAAGGCTGAGGCAAACGCCCTTCTCTTTCTATGTACCGTGGTGGGCCTGGCCTCGGGGTGTGCAGTGTCTTGGGGGCTGGCGCATGTCTTTGTCTTTGAGGTCCAGAGCTAAATATAACCATGAGAGAGGCTAGCGATAAGCTGCGTCCTGTCTGGACCGGAGTTCTGTTGGGGCCTGGGGGATACTGGGGCTCAGGCTGGGAGATGTTCGTGTCCTTGTGCTACAGACCTGGCCGGTCTCACACATGACATCGCGCCTCCCCACTATTTATAGTCCCAGAGGCCCTGGGAGGTGTAATGTGGAGGCAGAGTTGGGAAAGTGAAAAGAACATGGACTTTGAACCTTGGTATGGAGTCTTGGCTGTATTACTAAGGGACCATGTGAGCATGGGCCAGTTACCTTATGTCACTAAGCCTCAGTTTCCCCACCTGTAAAGTGGGGGCGGTAGTCCACATAGACATTTGTAGAGTCACTATGAGAATCAAACAAGAATGTACAGGGGCACCTGGGTGTCTCAGTTGGTTAAGCGTCTGACTTTGGCTCAGGTCATGATCACACGGTTCGTGGGTTCGAGCCCCGCGTCGGGCTCTGTGCTGACAGCTATCTCAGAGCCTGGAGCCTGCTTCCGATTCTATATCTCCTCTCTCTGACCCTCCCCTGCTCACACTGTCTCTCTCTCTCTCTTAGAAGTAAATAAAACATTTTAAAAAATTAAAAAAAAAAAAAAAAAAAGAATGTGTAGTAACAAACACAGCTTCTGTCTGTCCGGGCAATGGGCTTCTCAAATGGAGCCACCTCCAGGGCTCTGGACCCTGAGGTTTCCTGCAGCATGCAGGGGCTCCAGTGAGAGCGGGCCTGGCATCACAAGTTCTGTTTAGACCTGTGAGCAGGGCATGTCAGCAGTTACGGCTTTGGCTTCAGTTATGAAGTGCCAGATCTTCGTGAGACCAGGCATTTAAGAGATTGGCTGCAAACAGCAGACTGACTAATTTAGGGAGTAGGTTCTAATTTAAAGTGTGTGCGTGCATGTGTGTGTGTACGTACACTCCTATATATACGCATATATCATCCTTAAATGATTTCTGGCCTCAGAAGACACTCACTGCAAATTGTGCACGCATGTGTCTTATTTATAGTCAAATTAAAGCTGAGAATAAAGCACAGATGGGAAATTCCCACTCAGATTCCAGCTGTAAGTGCAGCAGATGGATGTTATCAATTTAGGATTTTCTTGTCTTAACATTTTTCCTTACTACTTCCCACTAATTGTCAACATCCTCCTTCCAATATGGGAATGTGTGGGTGCTGTACTCCTTTAAAAAAAAATCTCCCTTTGACTTTATTCTTCTCTAACTTGCTTCCTTCTGAAAATAGGTTGAATTTGAAGTGTCATCAATAGCATTAAATCTTGTAACCCCGTTCAGCCACCAGGATTCAAAGTACTCCCTTAGTGGGCTGGCTGGGCAGAGAACATCCACCTCCATGTTCAACCATGAGGGGGCAGTGTTCACATTTGCTCCGTGATCTTGCCCTGCATACCAGTCCATCTGCCCATATGAAATGCTCTTACGGATTTCCCACCGCCAGATACCAGACTTTAAAAAAAAAAACAAACAGACAAAGGTACAAAGTTTACCTATATAGTTTTTAGAAGAAGTTTCATAGATGATTTTCATTTTCACTGTGAAAAGTAAGGCAAGCTTGTGTTCCAACTTTTGCTTAGGTGACAAAGAATTAGAAGCATAGAGCAGCTGTCCGGAGGTTGTTCATTCAAGTATTTACGGAGCACGTACTTTGTACCAAGCACTGTGCTAGATGTACGCAGTGAATAAAACAAGGATTCCCTGTTGTTGTGGAACTCATAACACGTGAGAGAGGGCAGGCAGCCGATAAACAATTAGCATACTAAATAGGTCATTCATTCCGTTAGACAGTAAGTGGTCTAGGGAAGCGTGAGGCTGGCTAACAGAGACAGTAAGGCAGGTGTGGGGATGGGTTTGCAGTATTAAGTAGGGCGGTCAGAGCTGGCCTCCCTGAAGAGGTAAGATCTGAGCAAAGCTTTGTTGGGGAGGGAGACCCCTTAGCCGTGCGGACTGCTGAGCACGATGGGCTCCACACAGGGACCAGCTAGGGCTAGAGCAAAGCCTATGGTAGGAGCACCCACGATACCATGATTTATAGTAAGAAATATATATTTGGTGTCCCCAGTCTGGGCACGGAGCTCCTAAAACCCTCAGACTTTCTGCAGGCAGAGCGATAAAGGTTTCTTTTGTCATGTGCATGAGCTGACTTTTGGAAAGCACTAATGACAGGGCTGGTTGCCAGCAGACCTCAGAGGAGGGAGAGGGGTTGGAAATGAAGTTCAGTCACCAGTGGCCAATGATTTACTCCATCGTGACTGTGTAATGAAGCCTACAAAACCCCAGAAGGACTGTGCTCAGAGATCTTCTGGGTTGATGAACACGTGGAGACTGAGGGAAGGGGCACACTTGGAGAGGGCACAGCCTTGCCCTCGCGCCTCTTCCATCTGGCTGTTCTATCCTTTGTTAATAAGCCGGCAATCTAGTAAGTAAAAGGTTTCCTTCATTTCTGGGAACCTCTCCAGCGTATTAATCAAACCCGAGGAGGAGGTAGGCGTTCATGGAAGCTCCCATCTACAGCCTGTTGGTCGGGAGCACAGGGGACAGCCTGGACTTGTGGTGGGTAGCTCAAGTGGGGGTTTGGGGGAGGGGACCAGTTTTGTGGGGACTGAGCCCCTAACCTGTGGGATCTGATGCTGTGTCCAGCAGGTAGTGTCAGAATTGAGTTGAATTCTAGGACACCCAGCTGGTGTCTGGGGATCGCTTGTTGGTGTGCGGAAGAAACCCACACCTCAGAACCAGGTACAGACCGGCAGCGTGGCTGATGTATTTGGAGAATAGCAAGGAAGCTAGTATGGCCACAGCAGGGTGTGAGGAGTCCTAGAGAAGTAGCAGGGGATCGGAGATACTGGGGAACAAAATCATGAAAAGCCTTACAGGTCATCAGAATGATGGGCCTTGTACTCTGAGGGACGTGAGGAGCCAGTGGGCCAGGGGAGTGACCTGATAGGACTTCCGTGTTGATAACACAGTGAACGAGACAAGGGCAGAGCGGGGAGGCCAGCTGGGAGGACAATTGCAGATGTCCAGGTGGCAGGTGATGGTGGCCTGTACCTGACTGAGTGAGTAGTAGAAGTGGTGAGAACGAGTCATATTCTGGATATATTTTGAAGATAGGACCCACAGGCTAAGGTTTCTTGAAGGAATGGAGATCATTCTTGAAGGGATGAGAGCAAAAAACTAAGAAATTCTTTTTGTTTTAACTTCTTTTTATTTTTAAAAGATCTGTGCACCCAGTCTGGGTCTCAAACTCACAACCCCAAGATCAAGAGTCACGTGCTTTACCGAGTGAGCCAGCCAGGTGCCCCCAAACCATGAAACTCTTGGCCTATGTAATCGAAGGAGGAAAAGATCAGGAGTTGGGTTTTAGACACGTTGGGCTTGAGAGTATCTATGAGGCCCTCTAGCCAGGACGACAGATTCACACGTAGCTGTGTGTGAGTCTGGGGTTTGGGAGAGCAGTCAGGGCTTGGAGTGTAAACTTGGAAGAGGGCATGTAGATGGGATTTAAAGCAGTGAGGTTGGGTGAGATCACCCAGAGATTTGAGTACAGACAGAGAAGAAATAACAACAAAAAAGAAGAACCAGCAATGAGCCTGAGAAGGAGTGCCCAGAGACAGAGGAGGCGCTCGCACTGGTTAGACTTCTTAGGGAGTCAGTTCATCATTTAATCCCCCAAAAAAGGAGGTTCCTGATCTACAGGAATCTGTGTTTTTCATCATCGTCTTCATCGTTACCATTGTCACCGCCGTCATCATCAAAAGCATCAGATATTTGTCGGGTTCCCGCTGTGTGCCAGGCACTTGAGGACTGCACGTAAATGTAGCCCCCCTGCCTTTAAGGACAACGCAGAATGACAGGACGCCCAAGAGCATGGCTTCCCCCAGGGCCTCTGCTGTCTTCTCCCCTTTACCGCCCAACCTCTACAACCGTCCCCATTTCCTCATCACCTACTCCCCGGCCCACTTCAGTCTGGCCTCCGCCGCTGTCACTCTCCCAAAAACCAGCCTTGCTGAGGCCATTGGTTTCCGCCAGGCCGTTCATCTGGAGGTTGTTTGCCTCCACCTTCTCTCATCCTCCGTGCTTGTTGACCAGGGTGGGCATTGGTTTCTCCCAGAAACCCCCCGCTTCTGTGATTCCACACTTTCCGTGTTCCTGCTGTCCTACGGGAACTCTTCATCTTTCTTCATCTCCCCTCAGCCGTAAGTGCTGCCTTAGAGCTTCTTCCCTCGCCTCCCTCTGTATATTTTCTCCCAGGCAAGGGCATCCATGTTCCCCACAGTTTAGTAATCATCTAGAGAATCACTGTCAAAACTTCCCAAGCTGTTTCTCTGCTACAGACGCTCAGGTGAGCTCCAGGTTCCTCTGCCATCTCCATCCCCGTGTAGCTCACTGAGATGATTCCTCTTCAACACTTCCCTGACCTCTCCCTCCCAGGCTCTGCTCCAGCTCTCTGTCTTCCCTGACACACTTCCCATCCCCCTTCCGGGCTTCCTGTTCTCTTCACCAAGGCCGTCTGCTTGACACCTCTTCCCACCAGCCCACGAGAGACTTCATTCAGCGGTCAATATAGC